GGCTGAGCCAGTCGCGGGTGCCGCCGGGGGGCGGAGGCTCCGTGGAAATGTGTCGGTGACATTGAATGGGGAGACCGAGCGCGAGCGAGGCGCGCGCGCGCGCATACACGCGCACACCCGGCCCCGCTAGCTCCGAGATCCCCGGCCACGTAAGTAACTATTAATACCGCCTCGCCGGGAGATGCGGGCGTGCTGAGCTCGGGGATTGGCCTCGGGCACCGTCGGCCGTCCCCTTCAATTTTAAATACACATTCCTCTTACCTCGGAGGGGGAAAGAAACAGATCAAAGGAGAGGAAGAAAAGCCGTCAATTTTCTCCAAAAAAAAATCAAGCCGGCCAGGCAATCGGGTTTAGGGGAAGGGGCGACGGAGTGGTTGCAAATTCTTGCGAGGCAGGATCCAGCTCTCCAGCGGGAAAGGAAGGCGGCGGCTTAGGAGGGCCGGGGGCGCATCCCCTTGCAGCGCCCGGAGGACCCCCGGAAGCTCGCGCCGGGGAAGTCGGAGACCACCGATCTGCCCGGCCCCTGCCCGCACTTCTCCCTTCATTCGGAGGACGACCAGGAGCGCGAGCGAGCGGCGACAGCATGAGCCTGTGCTGACCTCCGCCCCGCCGGCCGAGCCCCGGGCTTTGTGGCGGTACCTGCTCCCGGCCCGCGCCGCAACTCCGCGCCCAGCTTTTGCAATCTTTTGTTGGCAGCGCTGACTGCTCCAAGTTAAATGCTTTTTTTTTTTTTTTTTTTTGTCTGTTTGTTTAATTTTGGGAAGAGCTCTTGCGATCTTGGAAAAGCCTCAGACGCCATCTACAGTTAAATCGTAGGTAACTACCCTCTCCGACACCCCCCCCTTCCACGCCCCCCACCCTTTCCACCAAAAAGGGGGTGCAGCGCCGATTCCGTCTGCCGAGCGGCGCGAGCCGGGAGACGCGTGCTGATCTCCTTTCTCCTTTTTGTCGGGTCGCTTGACGCGCGGACACCAAGCCGCAGCCGTGCGCCCGGCGAGGACGCGCCCGCTGGAGCAAGGGCTCCGCCGCCTGGTCTGCGAGTCCGAAGCCTGCGCGGGGACCACTCCGGGGGACCCGGCGCCGCGGCTGCCACCTGAGCAACCCGGCCCCTCCGCTGGACCCACGTCGCAAAGAGAGGGAGAGAGACAGAAAGTAAAAGTGCGGGCATTCTGCACCTCGCCGACCGCTTCGGGGTAACAAAAGGACCGAAGCTGCCGCCGACCGAGTACCCGCGGGAGCCGGGCTCGGAGCAGACCAGGTGCCCGGCGGCGCCCGCTTGGGGGATTCTAGCTCGTTCTCCACGTAGCCCCCTTCCCGTCCCCTCCCCTCACGTCCCCCTTTAAAATCTGCGGCACGGAGGGGCCCGCAGCCGCGCTCGCCAGCGACTCATCGCTCCGGAGGGTTTTTTGTTGTTGGTCGTGTGCGATCCCACACTCATGAACATACACAGGTCCACCCCCATCACAATAGCGAGATATGGGAGATCGCGGAACAAAACCCAGGATTTCGAGGAGTTGTCGTCTCTAAGGTCCGCCGAGCCCAGCCAGAGTTTCAGCCCGAACCTCGGCTCCCCGAGTCCGCCCGAGACTCCGAACTTGTCGCATTGCGTTTCTTGCATCGGGAAATACTTATTGTTGGAACCTCTGGAGGGAGACCACGTTTTACGCGCGGTGCATCTGCACAGTGGAGAGGAGCTCGTGTGCAAGGTAAAGAGCCCGGGCTTCGGTATTGCTTTTCTTTCTTTCTTTCTTTCTTTTTTTTTTTTTGTCTTTTGAAAAGATCCCCCGGCCCTTTGCACGGGGCCGGCGCGGGTGGGAGGTCGCCAAGCCCTGGAGTCTGGGGGAGGGAGATGCGCGGGATAATAATCCGTGGCCTCGTCAAATGGGTTTATTTATTTATTTGCTCGTGTGCGACTAGTTGCGAA